TAATACCCGTAATTTTCTAAAAACGGTCGGGAAAATGGTAAGGGGGCTTGGCCCACGGCCAAAGCCGGTTAAGCTTCTGTTTGAGGATCAACCAACATGGGTGACCCTGTCATACGACCCTAGGGTCGCATGGACCACCTAAAGGTTGAAAATGTGATTTTTCAAGGGTTTTTTTTATTTGGTCATAACATCTTTATTTCTTATTTCATTTGAGTGATTTTTGAGGTTATGGACTCATATTTTGAAGCTCTTCAAGGGGATATTGAAGAAAATTTAATTTTCTTGGTGATTTGAGGTTTATAATAGTTGAAAGGTAAGATTTATATATCCATTTCTTAACACCACAGATCTAGAAGTTTAGCTTATGGATCTCAAGTCTCTACCTTTGGAAGCTGAAAATTTGGATTTGGAACCTAGGTTTAACTTAAACTAGCATGGTGAGTTAAAGTTGCTTTGTGGAAAATTTGTACATGTCAAAAATGTCTGTTTTAAAGTCCTGAAGTGTTGTCTTTGAGATTTATCAAAAGTGATCGATTTCTTGAGGATATTGCATTTTTGCACATTTCATTTCTAAAGTATTGAGAAATACTTATATTTGAGACTTTTGGACATTTTAATAGATGAATCATAAAGGGTGTTGTTTTGTTGATTTATTGTATTTGTGAGAATTTTTTGACGTTAATTCATTTACGATGTATTTTGAAAGTATACATTGTTTGGTTCTCATTTGGAGACGAATTATCCTAACAATGATGGATTTTGACGATGTCATATTCTGAGCATGAGTTTGCATAAGCATTGGGTGAATGCATATTTTGACTTATGTTCATTTTTATTGAGTAGTCACGTAAATGTGCAATCTATTGGCTTGATCTTGGCTCAAATGAGTTTTGGGGGACATTTATCTTGTTTTAATTACTCAATGTTCAGTTTTGGACGTGTACTGCATTTATTGCATATTTATTTGGAAAATTGCATGTTTAGAGTGTGTTGACTATTCATTTGGAGTCATGTAATTTAGACTGTAATGTATGGATCCATAGAAATATGAGATCAGTCAGTTAATGAGTGAAGAGTTTTGATGTTCTCACTCTGAGATCAGTGCTCAAGTAAGTATAGTGGTCGTGTCGGTATTACGGATAGGCACCCGTGTGGGGTTGGACTCCGGGACCGCGGGTATTACGAAGATAGACTCATATAGAGTCAGACTCTGAAACCCATGACTTGTTGATGTCATTTAGTATTGTGGAGGTGAACTTGCTTAGAGTCGGAATTCCGAACCAATGGGTCGATGTTTGTTGATTTAAGTGAGAAGTTTTGATGTTCCCACTATAATTTCTAGTTAGTGCTCACCAAGTCATGGTTTTGAGAGCTTGTGGTAGTACCCTATTAGGTCGTATAAGGAGCTACTAGCCTGCAGTGGTATTCTTTTGAGTCATACACGGGCCTAGGTCTTGAAGTGGTGCCCGTTGGAGCTGTATACGGAGATTGATGACTTTTGTAGTGAGACTCATCTAGAAGTCGATTAGGAATCTTGGTTATCCTAGGGGCTTGTGGGGGGTACTCATTGGAGTCATATACAGAGCTTGGGTCCTGTGGTGACACTCAGTATAATCGTGTACGGAGCCTAATAACCTTGAGTGAAACTTGGTAACATTGATGAATGACTTACTTTCTGTTTCTCCATGATCGATCGAAAAAGGGTCTCCCTAATCATCGAAAGGTGTTTTTCTTTGGGTAATAAGAAGTATCCATATTTTCAGTGACGTTTTAAGTATAAAGTGTTTTCCATGATTTATGATTTTGGTATATTGGAACTTATCCATGTTTGATGTTTTAGACAATGGATTTTATCTATGTGTTTCGAATATTGAATATTAAACATTATCCGTAGATTTTGTGAATACTGGATTTTGGTTTCATGTTAAATGAGTATTTTGATTAATGAACTGTCATCATGAAAATGGTGTGGAAAGATGTTGTTTTTATACTAAATTCATTTTATTTTGAAAATTGTGATTTAAATAACATCTTTTCAGTTTTACCGTTTTATATTAAAGATGAAAACTGTTTGAACTCACTATGCTGTTAAGCTTAAACCTTTTTATTTGTCGGCATCTGCATCATGTCCTCGTTGGAGAATGAAACTAGCGACACTATGATGAATTGACTGCTACTTAGAGGCACGAGAATGAATTAGCTCATTGGAGATGTCTTCCGTACTTTAGAGATAACATTAGTCAATAGGTTTTACATAAGAAACTAAACTAACCATTTGTGTAAGGTTTGTGTTATTATTGGTTGATGTTAAATCCTATACTGCCGTTATAAGTAATCAAATGTTGACATTTATAAAGACATTTATTTTTTATTGATATTTTACCGAAAATTTTAAATTAGTCATTATTTCCAGATTTAAAGGTGTTACATTTTAGAATTAAAAATAAATATGCAATTTATTTAGCTTTTAATGATAAAATATTTATTAATTAGTCATATTAATGGAGCTCAATTAATGATGTATTTGAATATGTTTATCACTTAGTTATTTAATTAGTTTTGTAGAGTTCAAAAAGTTTTATCAATAACTGTTACCAATTATCAGATGCTTAATAAATTTGCACATTTTACGATCGATTAAGTTTGAAAAGAGACGCGCAAGGTGAGGAGAAGGAAGAGAGGAGCGGATTTAGGTTTGAAACTTCATCATGCTTAATTTAATTTCTTATCTGCTATTTGGTTTATAGATTTTGTAGGAATTGGAATGATTAAGAAGTCGTTTACTAAACACTTACCGGGTAAGTGGTTACTGATATCACTTACCTTACCAATTGAGTATGAAAAAACCCGAGAACTTTACTGGTAAGAGGCATAGCAAGGACTGAGAGTCTTACCCGGTAAACACTTACCGGGTTTAATACACTTACCAAGGACTGAGGGTGATATCTCTTACCGGTAAGCACCTATCCGGTAAGTGTTTGGTAAACGACCCCTTATATTTGAGATTAGTGAAAGATTTCAAATGCATATGCATCCCAAACAAAAGACATCTATACATGTAACTCTATTTGTTTTGTTTGTTATTTATCATATTTATTTTATAAAATTTTATTTACATAACTTTAAAATAAATAAAGAAAAAATTGCATTAAAATGTAACCAACTTTTCTTTTATTCTTATTTGGAGAACCAACTTTCAAAACCTTTATTTTAGGATGTAACACAAACTTTTCATTTATTTAAGGAAACTGTTTACCTGTTCAGCAGGTAACCGGTTATTGTGGTAAAAAAATTCAAAGAAGAACTAAAACTAAATGAATATCTAACATTTTTAACGAAAAAATAATTCAAAACAAAGAAAAGGTTAAACAAAAAGGCTAGATCCCAACCCATCCACTCGTCAACATCGTCTTTACCTTCAAACCTTTGTCGAGTTTCGACAGGGGTTGCAATCCACCCCAACTTCGGTGACTTTAAATCACCATTAATTTCTGATAACAACGTTTCGGTCGTCTCCAGTCTTCGCTCATCTCTATCAGATATGTCACCAACTCTCTCTACACCATCTCTACTCATCTCAAAATGATATGCATTTCAAGAGAAAAAACGAAAATCAGTCGTCGGAGAGGTGTAGTTGCCATTAAGAAGCCAAGAGTTGGGGGAGCTGGAAGGTCATCATCAGAAAAAACACAACTCTCTCGACACCACCTCTACCTATTTCATGTTCACCCACAAATTCAACAGAAAAGCCAACTGGTAGTTGAGGGTAGTCGTCCGAGGCGTAGTCGAACGTAAAAGTAGTCGTTGGAGAGATGTAGTCATCGGTACGAAGCCAAGAGTTAGAGGAGCTGGAGGGTGGGAGTTAATATTAATTTATGTTTTAAAAACTAATGACATGTAATTTAAATTTATATTAAAAAATGACATTCAAATATTACTGGTTCCATGTCATAATTTCTAGGTTATCAAGTAAACAAGTCCCTTAAATAAATGAATAGTTTGTCTCAAACCCTAAAATGAATGCTTTGAAAGTTGGTTTCCCAGTAAGAACAAAGATAAAACTGATTCCATATTAATCCAATTTTCCCATAAATAAAAACGTGTTTTGGTCATCTACATTATTTCATTTCAATTACAAAACTACATTCCGTCAATCAAATACGAGGATTCCAATTCCTTTTGAGATGCTACATTCCAATTACAACCAATCAAACTTGGTCAAATTCCATTCCAATTTCTATAAAATCAAATCCCTTTAGTAATTCCGATTCCACTAAATTCCATTATGCGAACCTACCACCAGGGATAATAAATTGATGATTAGGCATGGGAATGGGACAGAGACCTCAATCCCCGTCCCTTATTAATTATCTCCATCCCCGCCGGAGAATGTAATAACATCCCCATCTCCAACGGGAAAACGGAGATTTTTTTCTTCCGTTTATATAAGTTATTTTAAATTAAATATGTGAGAGGTCATGCATGTTTAAATCTCAAACATTTTCAATAGACCTAAAACCAAAAAGAATTTAATTTAATACAAAAAAACCACATCATATAAGAATTAATAACCTAAACAAAAAAAAAAAATCAATTTAATCTAGAAAAACTTAAAGTCACATGTAACAAAAGATATTGAGTAATATAAAACCATATCGAGTAATTGTATTTTGACTTGACATCCAAAATATTACATATTAAACATCCAAAAAAATAACAATTTTAGATTATAAACCTAGTAAGGTAATAAGAAATCATGAATTACCATTTTAGTTAAAATAAATAATATACATACATATATAACGGGTACAAGGAGGGAGTACGAATCCCGTCCCCGTCCCCGTCCCCATCCCCAATTTAGCAAAGAACCCCATCCTCGATCGGGACAGGTGGACCGGGTTCCAAAAAGATAAGGGCTTATTCCCATGCCTATTGATGATATGCAGTTCTAATTAATGATGACATGGCAAGTTAATATCCATAAAAATCAGATATCGTAATTTTCTCAAAAAGCAAAAAATTTACAAGAAAGAAATATCTTTAAAAAAGATGTCAAAGTACAATTATTCATTTTGTATCCTCATAATTTATCTAAAATAAACAGTTAATATATTTAAAAAGATGATTAAAAATAAAATAAAAAAGTGACGTTATTTTGATTTCTTGCCCTGCTTTTTCTTTATAACCTCATCAACATACATGATACCTTTGCCTTTGTAAACCTCGGGGGGTTTACAACTACGAACAGCAGCAGCAAACTGGTGCACCCTTTGCTTGTCTATTCCGGTGCAACAAACGATATTGGGTTTGAAACAAAATACTCTAACAGCAGGAGGCACCGATAACTCCACCTCATGACTGTACCCCAGTTTCAGAAACAATAAACGTCCTTCTGATTCCGCTCTAGCTTTGAAACCAACCCCGACTATCTTCAGAAACCGAAAGAATTGAGCCTCCATTTCAGCAACCACTGTCTGCAATCACCTAAACGAGAGAGAAAATCTAAAAATAAGAACAGTATAATGATTGAATACAAAAACACCCATCAGTAATAAGCAGACACGTTACCCTTATGGCACACCATGGTGCAATGCGTGTTTTTTGCAATGCGTTATTTGATTTCTTTTACCCTTCTAGCATTTTACGTTTTAATATTATCTACTTGTATATGGTCTTATTATATCAGAGTAATAGTAGAAACATGTGTGTGTGTGTATATATATACATACATATAATATACAAATTTGTTGCCATAAGCAGGGACTTGAAAACCACGATGACTCTTTAAGGCTTGAGGCTCACGCCATGTCTCATGTCATTTAGGACTTTGGTAATTAGAACAAAGGGGAGTGTAATTTTGCGAACTTGTTTCAAACATGCAAAACTGTATCAACATTGCAACCTATTTTAAAGTGAGTTTATTTTTTAATGATCCTGAAACGACATTCTATAACAAGATTATTATCTGAGGACTTGTAAAACTTCATGAAGAGAAAAGTCGTGATGCTACGTTCATCACGAATGAATATTAGTTATAATTCCAAATAAACTATAACTAGTACAGACTCTGTGAAAGTCTCTGTAACTTGAATGATGAAAGCCAATTTGCAGTCTTCTGAAACTATGCAATTGCAGTATGACTCAATCAGACAGAGTTGGTTCTACAGGATCAGGTCCAAAAATTATGAATAAAAGCAAACCTAAAATCTACTACATCCAAGGGTGGATTTAAGATAACAAAATGTGGCTGGACCCTTCGGTTCTTTTATAATTTTTTTGGTAATAGCAGCAGAAATGAAGGAAAAACCACTTGGGTGTTCCAAAAAACCATTTGTAAGTTAACCACAAAGGTGGTACCTGATTGGTTTGAGCTTGGCTCCAAAGGTCAAAAGTACCAGGAGGTCCCAGGTTCAAATCCAAGGAGGAATAAAAATCTCCTTGTGGCTACGGAGGTTCAAATGCGGTGACTTTGGGCTATCTGTAAAGCAGGTGGTCCCCCTGGGATTAGTCAAAAAAAAACATTTACAAGTCATTTTAATCAAAACCTACTGTTTATAATTAATCTTTGTTATATTTTATATTACGTTAATTATTTTGTGCCCCTGCTCAAAATAAATCTGGATCCGCCTTTAGCTACTTACTTGGAACTGTTGTTAATTTAACTAACTGCTCGCATTGGTACAGAATTCATTGCCTACCTGATCCTTGTTCAATATAAGATGTATAGAGCAAGAACTTTGCAAATGCTACATATTGATCCTAAATTCAGTGCCTACGCAAATCTAAAAAAGTAGACAATCAATTCACTTCACAAGACTACCACAGGCATGATGATCTACATAGAAATATAGAAAAGATGCAAATATACATGGAATATGAGAGTATCCATCTTCATCATGTCTTAAGATAACAAATTTAAGTGCATGATTGTTAGCAGCTTAATGGGATTCACAACTTATTCGGTCAGCCATATATATGACTGATTGGTAGTGGCTTAATGATATAGAAAGTGGTTTATTCACTAATCTTCTAGGAGTAGAGATGGCAACGGGGTTGGGGGTATCGGGGATCGCAATCCCCATCCCTGCTTTCCAATTCCCGTCCCCATCCCCAATGGTAAACCGGGATTTTCCCCTGTCCATACAATTTACTTTTTTACGTAATGTTTTTATACATAATATATATAAATGCCAATTTTACATTTAAATGACGTATAATGCTAAAATATTAATTACCAAATTTTTAATTGTTGTATTTGAACAATGGTAACATAAAAAATGTGGTTCAAACACAAATATATTAATTAAAATACTTGAGAATTAAAATTTTATATAATCACGTTGCTATGTCAATAAAAGTTTCCCACAAACAACCAAATGAATAATGTAATTATTTTTACAAGTTTTTATAATGAAAGATTGATTATATTTATAGATTACATATAACTAACTGGGTTTCTCACTATATTATTATACTTAGTGTATGTATATATACACATAGAAATGTATAATTAAAATTCGGGGTCGGGGATGAAGGGTGTATCCCGGCCCCATTCCCGGTTTATAAATTTGGGGATTCCCCATCCCCGGTCAACTTGGGGATTCCCTGGTCAAATCAGGGTTGAGTATTGGGTTCCCTGCAGGGTGCGGGGTTTTTTGCTATCCCTGTCTAGGAGGGAGCTTGTACAAACAAGGTCGTTCTTGGTGGAGGGCAGGCTGGCCTCACAAGAGATGGGGCCCAAATTTTTTTAGTATATAATAGTAGTTTAAAAAATTAATAAATAAAGATTATACATTACAAATTCTTTTAGTATCTGATATTACTCAAAAACAATTTAGTATTATATTTAGAGCCCATACATGTATTAATTAATTACACTAGTGAAGAAAATATGTAAAAAGTTAATTGATTGTTTATTTTATAGTAATGTTCAGGGTAATCTATTAGCATGTATTAATTAATTACAATTTTACATAGGCCCTCATGTGAACCCACCTCAATGAAGATTTATTTCAAAATCAAAATATGGCTATTTAATTTCATTATTTGTCGATCAAAACAAAAATGACTCTTCGATATTCTTTTCACTTTGTCATTTTATACATTTTTGTTGTTTTAATTTGTAACTTTTTTAATATTACAAGAACTTTCATATTTTATTTTGTTTATTACTCGTTTCAGAAGATCTATAGTTTTAGTATGGATGTAACAGGACCTCCAAAAATATTGGGACGACCCTAATATTGTTTATTGTTTTCTCTAAGTTATTTTTATTTAGTATCAAAGTTTAAAACTAATTATCTATAAAACCTTGATATATATCTCTATCATTCATCTCCCACTAATTTTTTTGGTTATCTCATCCGCATTAATTATATTTTTGTATTAACTAAGAAAACTCCTATCTTTTAAAAAGAATAACAATCATTTGAGACAACCCAACTTATACCTATATTTAGGATTTCAGAACTACCCTTATTTTTCCATACATTATTGACTCCTTATTACATAATATTGAGTTCATGAATCTTAAGTAATCTCCTATCTCTAAAACAAGAATAAAATCTTAAGTTATAACCGACATGGGCTTTTCATTCTAAGATTGATAGTTTCGGAAAAAAATTATTTAACGCTAAAAATTTTAAATGATGATGAAGAACATTAATATGAGTTAGATGGAAACCCACTAATTTATATTAATTTACATAAAATGTTACTTTGAATAGTCAATCTTGTGACCACGAATGAAGTCAATCTACGTATTAAAAGTATATCATGTGATGTTTTTGACAGTGATTGACCATGCTATGTAAAACTGATATGGAAGATAATATTAATTTAGAAATAATTATTGATCGATTTTACATCAAGTAATACTCAAGGAAATGGTTTTATATGAATTATTAATATTTTTTGGATTCAATGGTATTTTTGATGATAAAGACAAAATACTAAAGAATTTTTTGTACATTTCGAGGGCCCTTTTTACATCTCGCTCAGGGCCTCTAAAATGTCAGAACAGGCCAATGTAGAAAGCTAAGTTTTTTCTAAACTTGTCACTCCTAAGTAAAAAAGCACACTAATCCCCAATCTATCAAGACAGATTAATCCACACATGGAAAACCAACCAAAGAGGCCCTAAGTTGAAAACTAGGAATATGAACTTAATCCTTTGACTCCGACAGCAATAAATGGATAGAAATATGTATATGGGTCTGGATTTCTAGTATTGATATCTAAAAAAACGATCCAGAATTTCCACAATATAAATAACAAACCCTCACAAACTTAATGGTTGCATCAACAACTCCAAAGTCCAAAGAATAATGAAACTCACCATTTTAGTTCTTCATGTTGTAGACATATGCATCATACGCTATTATAACAGAAAACTTATTCTTGTTGCAATCTCAGATACCTAATTCTCAAATCGACTTTTAAGACCACACAAATGCTTAATTGATAGAATCGAAGATGATTTGTATACAAAATTAGCACCAGCATTTACCTTGTTCATAGCATTTGTGATAAGTGTGATCTTATAGTTGAGTGTTTGCTTTAAAATAATATACAAAATCCAAATCTCTCAATAGCAATCTTGCAAACCAAACGAACTATAAATAGCAATCTTATAGCATTTACAATTGTCTAGCTTTTTCCTTCGTAGACCGAGAGATCCATTAATGTTTTTTGTTCATAAGTGTGATCTTATAGTTGAGTGTTTGCTTTAAATAATATGTTAAGGTTTCATTAATCAAGTTGTTAGATCCTTTGCATTTAAACACCAACTCATCTACTTATCCAAAACCAAAATAAGGAGCATCATAACACCAAATCATCTACTTGTCCCCATTTACTACATCCTACGTCTTCTGTATAAATCAAAATCAACACTCATACCTTTTTAATCCAACTCTAAACACTTAATTGGTTGGTTCTTCTTCAATTATTTACACTCTACAACATCAATGGCTCATTCCTACTTCACTAATTTTGTCCTCCTAGTTTTAGTCACTTAAGGTATTTGCCTATGAAATTAGCTATTGCATGACTTCATTAGACCATTATGTGTTTCATATAATCATATTTAGGGTCATGACCAATGACAATCATGAGTTTCATATGTAAAATTGCAAAGTTAAGGGAGAACAGTCAAGTGAATTAGCTACTACACATTCAAGTGAGGGCAAATCATCACTTAACTACTGCACATTTATAGGTCTATTCAACTGTATTATAACTGCTGAAATTATGTTAATATACATCAAAATCTAATGGGATTAGAACAAAAATCTTGAATATTAATCGCAGAACGAAGAACTAAAACTCCAGAGATAGGCTTGATTGAATCGATGAACAACTAGATCAATTAATAGCAATAGTATGAATGTATGATGCTTTGACTGTTTGACACACAACAATGTCTGCAAACAGAAGGGAGTAACCATAACCAGAACCAGAACGAAGAACTAAAACTCATGGATTTTACTTAGAAATTGCAAAACGAAACAACCCCAAAAATAGCCACAAGTCCCAACCTAACTAATGTTGACGATTGACAGAAAACCTAAGTAGACAATTAGGCAATAGGCATACATTGATACATACAGTATTACATTTACAGCTTTAAAGCATAAAAGAAAACCTAAGTATGGAGGGCAACGTCATCTAGATTATGAATTAATCAAACAAGAATTAGAAACACAAAAAAAAAATAAGTGAAGTAAATAACCCTAACCTCACAACTCACAACTCACGAGTATTCAGATTTTGAGCGGTCGTCGATCGATAGTTGAGACTCGAGAGAGCGAGAGCGAGAGGCGAGACTCGAGAGCCGAAAGTGGAGTTTGAGATTTTGATTCGTGAATCGTGAGTTCAGAGTGGCGATTTGAGTCTTCGATTCATGAATTGGCTCGTGAGCGAGGCGGGAGTTGAGGACGAAAGAGAGAGCGATTGAGGCCAATTGTGGTGGTAAAGGTAATATTTTTAGGCCCAACTGAACCTATATAGGTATATTGGGCTTGATAAATCTGATGCCCTTAGCTCTTTTGTTGCCCCTTGGGCCTATGCCGAGGGACGGCCCTGAATTTATGAATGAATGAAATATGTTAAAAGAATTGGAATTTGGAATGAATTGGAATGGAATAGAATGTTATCAGATTTGAATAAGTGTTTGGTTGACAGAAATGAAATATAATCTGTCTAATGAATTGAAATTTGTCTGTTTGGTTTGCAACAGAATTGGAATGGAATGATGAAAAAGAACAAAAATACCATTTATTTGATCTCTTCTAAAAAAATTAATTTTTTTAATTACATTACATATGGAGAACAAATCTGACTATTCAAATCAAAACACTGCTAGGCTCTCCCTAAAGCATCAATTGTTACTCAGATACCCAAAATTGTTCATCTATTTGATCCTTTCATTCTCTTGTATACCTTTGTCTTCTTCTTTTTCTTCTTACTTGGTGTTTCTGCTTTTGCTTCATCAGCTTCTACGTGCTTCCTCTTCCTTTTCTTCTTCTCTTCTCCATTCTCCTCATCTGCATCCTTATTCATCTGTAATAACCTTCTCCTTTTTCGAATCCTAAACTTGCCTTCTAAATCGAAGCAGTGATGCTATGGGTGACCTGTTGCAGTCTTTGATACACATCAAATACAGAAATCGAACAACATAGTTGTTGTCGATAAAATAGAGTAATTATTGGAGCTGAATGTAATATTTTTTTTTAGATTTTGACTTTTGATACTCCATTTAAAAAAAACTAACATAACTGTTGGCGATGCTCTAAAGTTTCTCGATTATTCTTCTCTCCTTTGTTGCGACTAAATGATTCATCGATGACCCCAATAATTAAACTAGCTCATTGAGTTCAAGATATGCCAAAGTAACTTTATATGAAGTTGGAACGGTTGCGCCATGAATGGCACCATTTGTTCCTGATTATGTGGTATGTGCAATTTGAGGCTTATAATTTCGGAATCAAAATCTTCGGCCCCAATAATTTATATTCCCTTTTAGTCCACCAATCATGTAAAGATGAGTAACTGATGCATCAAATTTTCATGTTCTATTATGTGTTTATAAGCTCAAAATCCTCACTTCTATATTTTAATAGGCCTAAATTATGTTTTTATAAGCCTAATCCAAGTTTTATGTTGATCAGTGCAAGAAACGAACGAGAAAACGCGAGGAAAAATGGTTGTTTTGCTTAACAAAGTTGTACGAAAAAAGTAGTAAAAAAAAAGGCAAAATAGAAAAAAAATGCTACCGTGGCATGCTACAGTTCCATGTCAGGGTAGCATGCAAGGGATCGCACAATATGGTATGAAGTTACGATATATGAAATGTTACCCTGACATGCTACCATGTCATGTCAGGGTCGCATGCAAGTGTCACATATTTTCCTAAAGCCTAGAGGGACCAATTTCGTCAATTTTTGAATCTTGAGCAGTTTTTCCATCTTCTTGGTATAAATTGACCTGGAAATCGCAGTTTGAGGGAGATTTGACCAAGGGGCGATTTTTGGGAGCAAGAGAGAAGATTTGAAGCGATTTCTACCATATCCATTCCGTTTAATTTAGTCGGTAACTCGTTTTTTATTTCCAACACTAGCCAAACTTTAGATTGTTGATGTATTTCATTTGAGGTTCCCTTATAAGATGTTGTTAATAAGTTTATTTGCTTGATTTCTATATGAATGTCATTTTCATTTGAGTTATCAATTAATTGATCTTCATTTGGAAAATAGCTATTCAAAACCCTAGATACATAATCGTTTAGGGATCTTGATAAAGTGGCGACTGAAATCAATCGATTTCAATTTGATTTCTTGAATTTTTGGAATGGATGCTCTAATAAGCGGAGCTTGTGAGCTTATTGCTTCGAATTGGTGATTTTACTAACTCGTTAATGCTAACCAAACCTCTGAATTTGAGAGCTTGTTCAAATTCCCATTTGGGGTTAAGATTTGATTAAAGAGCTTGTTTTAATCAATGTATATCTAAAATAAAATTGAGATTGTCAGAGCTTGTTAACAACTATAGCCAATTTGGGCTTGTTTTACCATTTTTCATCGTAAGAATCAATGATAGTATTTGCATCGCAATCGAAAGTGAAATATTGTCAGTCTTTTTAATTATAACTTTTTATTCGTATAATTAGTATTAGTAAATATCTTAATCCACCCCTTTTACTTAAAGTGTAGAAGCTAAATAATAGCCAAGACCAATCCCTAAGGATTCGACTTGACTTTACAGGTTGAATTCGTCGGTTTTACAAGTTGAATCCACGAGAATGGTCGTGGCTATTATTCAGCTTCTACACTTTAATTAAAAGGAGGTGGATTAAGATATTTACCAACACTAATTATACGAATAAAAGATATAATTAAAAAGACCAACAATATTTCACTTTCAATTGTGATGTAAAGAGTATCATTGATTCCTATGATACAACATATTAAAACAAGCCCAAACTAGCTATAGTTGTCAACAAGCTCTGACAACCTCGATTTTCCCATAAATTAAAACAAGCTCTTTAATCAAATATTCACCCCAAATGGGAATTTGAACAAGCTCTCAAATTCACAGGTGTGGTCAACATTAACGAATTAGTAATATCACCAATTTGAAGCAATAAGCTCACAAGCTCCGGTTATTAGAGCATCCATTGCAAGAATTTAAGAAATTAAACTGAAAACCTTATTGAGACCAAATGATTTTAATCGCCACTTTATCAAAATCCCTAAACGATTACGTATTTAGGTTTTTGAATAGTTATTTTCCAAAAGAACATCAATTAGTTGTTCAGATTAATCGATAACTCAAATGAAAATGGCATTCACGTAGAAATCAAGCAAATAAACTTATTCACAACAACTTACAAAGGAATCTCAAATGAAATACATCAACAATCTAGAGTTTAACTAATGTTGGAAATAAAAACGAATTACGGACTAATTTTAAACGGAATGGAGATGATAGAAATCGCTTCAAATATTCTCTCTTGCTTCCACACTAGATTGAAATCTACCTTTTGCCTTTCTGAAGATGTGTTTTCACATGACTCACGGTTGAAAGCATAATAACTTCAAACACTAGATTGAAATCTACCTTTTGCTTCCATGAAAGAATCACAAGGGGTCTGGTTCATTAATCACATATGGTGCAAAGTAATACAATTTATCTACAAAAAATCAACATCATTTGTGAGATTTTCCCGACAACAACGGCTCCATCACAGGGTCTGCATCTTTGGATGTTAATCGTTCTCTTTCACTGGATTCCATTTCATCGGCCGTTAAGTCAGCTTTACGTCTTTCTTTCAGTATGTCTAGATAGCTGGAACTGTTGTGAAGAGTTACTTGTGGTGCTTTAAGGGAAGAACTGGTTGAGGTCTGCACATGTTGAAGACAAACTTGAACGGCATCATGCACTCTAACAAAACACCATTCTTTACCAACCAGATCGATGAATCCAGATTTTACTAGAGTTAGAAGAACATCTCAGTTTGGATTAGCAATGGCTATCTGCATTATGGTTGATGGTGAAAGGTCGAGAGATTAAACATTATTTGGAGTGAATGAACCATCCAACAAGTAGATATCTTGTATACTTACTAAAAAATGCGAAAAGAAAAAAAAAACAAAGTATGTGATAGGTTGATGTCATTCACCAGCGCAAATTGGGTAAACGCCGACCAAATAAAAATACTATTTGGGTCAACACTAATCACTAATCGAGTAATGGGTCGTTTACCAAACACTAACCATGTCATAGCAGGACCGAGAATCTTACCTGGTAAGTAAGGGAGAAGACTCTTTCTTACACGGTTAGCACTTGCCGGATAAAGACGGTTACCAACAATCCATTTTATTGGTTAAGAATGTTACCTAATAAGGTAAGTGAGAGTGATGACTTTTGCCGGTAACCGCTTATCCGGTAAGCGTTTGGTAAATGACCCCTAAGAGCCCTTTGCTTAGCTTACCGGGTCAGCATCATGGACCTGTAAGAAGGGCTTGGTAAACAGCAACATCCCTGGCCTACTAAGCACCTCTAACCTGAGGGTAAGGGGCGGTAAGCAGGTAGTAAACAACCCCAAACTTTAAATCAAACAAACCCGGTATATCCCATACAGAGAAAGGGTCTGGGGACTGGGGAGGCTAGGATGTATACAGACCTTATCTCTACATGTAGTCTCAAGTAGCCAACTTTAACACACTTTAATGTTCATTTTCGGTGTTATAGCAATGACAACAAAACTACAGATATGATGATGAGAAAGGGTTGGGTTCTGGTGAGAATGAAAGTTATGGTGAGAAGGGTAAGAAGGGATCTCCACTCTTGGATCAATCCTAAATGAAGAGAACCACTAGATCAACACTAATGAGATACGCTAGATCAATTCCTTCTAAAAAGCAATCCATGGGTTGTTTTGGGATTAAAAGTGATCAAGGGTTCAAATCCCTTCTTACACTTCTCACCTTAACTCCTATTCTCACACGATCCTTCGTGATGAGAGAACTCTTCTGATTAGAAGTATAATAGTTGTAGGCAAAAAAAGATTATGCACCTGGATGTTTCTTGATTTATATTCCTGATACAACTCTTTTAAAGCTTGAACTGCACTGGAGTCGGCATAAGTAACAGCTGAAAAAGACATGGAACTAAATTAACTGCTTGTTCTGGATTGAAGATTAAATGTTGGAAAAAGTGGATATYTGTATTTGAAACATTCTATCACTAATATTAATACAATGTGAATCTAATCCTCACCAGTATCACAACATATAAATGCATACATGTCCAAATCTGTATCCATAAAACAGGCATGTCTGCATCCGCATATGATGACAAAAGAAGCGGATATGAATATAATTGTATAATGATACGTTTTCGACTCATTATTAATATAATACACACATA